CAATGCAAACTGAAAAGTCTTTTAAATTTTTAGATTATAGCGATGAGGAAACTATCAAAGAGGCAGCGAGTGTTATCGCTGAGCACACTTGCATCAGATTCGTTGAGCGAAAAGATGAAAAGGATTACATAGAATTCTACGAAGACAGCAAGTAAGGAGTAGGGGCAAATTTTAGACATTGCTTTGTTATTCACCACTCTGTATAATATTTTTTACTTGTAGTTTTCCCTTTCCTTGCAATTGGCTCCCTGTTCATGTAATCAGTAATGTACCTTAATAATTTTATAGCTGTTGTTGATTTGCGGGCTAAGCTCCTGCGCGAAAATGCAGCCTAATTTTCCATCTTTCTCGACTGTTCGATGCACTCGCGCAAATTTGAGCAATTAGAATGTAAAAACCTGCCACCGTTTTCATTGGAGAATATTACTCTGTGATGTAAAAAATATTTTGTTACTATTCACCCCAGTAATGTCTGTGAGTCGTACATCGGCAAAAAAGGCGGGAAACAGCTTTTGTCGCTGGGAAGCGGCTGTAAGAACAGAGGTCATGTGACTCACGAGCTGATGCACGCCTTGGGATTTTTCCACGAGCATACAAGACCAGATCGAGATAAGTTTGTCAAGATATTATGGGATAACATCAAGAGAGGTGAGCAGTCTTAAGCAATACTACTTTTGCTTTTCTTTCTTGGTCAACTCTTAAAAGAGCTTGGTAGTCGCATTGACAAGATGATTTCTCTTTCATACACTCCAGATCACGACGAGCAGTTTGAAATCCGCAAGCGAGGAGTCACAACTTTGGGTCAACCATACGACTTTCAGTCCATCATGCACTACTCCAACAAAGAGTTTAGTAAAAACAACAAGGACACCATCCAGGCCCTATCAGATCCAAACATGCCTCTTGGTAACGTCAACTCTTTATCTGCTGTGGATGTCTTGCAAATTAACCTGCTCTATAACTGTCCCGAGGCACTCAGACAAGGTACTACAATAACATAGGCACGCAACGCATCCAGAGTCCAAGTGTATTTTGAAATTCACAACAAGATCATCGTGCGCCAAATTAAATCATATTCACCTTCCAGTCACTATTTTTTCCTTTTCAAATACGTCTATGCTTAAGTATTCTGATGTTATGATGCTTTTTTACCACCGTAACCGACCTTCCTAGTAGAACGACCGATAATGACCGAATAAACAATTACTATCGAACTCAATTTGAAATGGAAAAGCTGATCATCAAGATTCAATTCACGATCATTCGACTGAAAAATCACTCTTGCTTTTTCTTCTCGTTTGACTTCCTTAATCAGGGTCATATCATTAGCACCGCAGGAAAACCACGCCTTTAAAAATACAGCCACCAACATATTCAAATCATTTACTCACTGCATCAAAAAATGTGTGTTCTCCGATTCACAGTGGTCAACTATGAAGTAACCGTGTACACAGGAGACAAATATTTGGCGGGAACGGATGGCCAAGTGTTTATAGAGCTGTTTGGGCGGAACACTGTCGGCCAATTGCAGAATTCAGGCGAGGAAGAATTAGTGGGTAAAAAGAGCGCCTTTGAGATGAGAAGGTGAGAATCAAGTTCAATGCTAAGGTCAGCCTGACAACCATTATGAGAGGTTATTAAAGGGGCACTGTAATGTCTTTAGTTATCACTACTCACCGGAGGACATAAAAGCGTCAAAATCTTTGGTAGAGAGGGGGAGAGATACTGAATTGAATTGTAGCCTCATATTTTTTCTCCTGTTTTTAGTGTGGACAGATTTAACGTTATTTCGCCAAACCTTGGAAAACTGATCAAACTGACGGTCAGACTTTCCGACAGAGGATACGGAGGAGCATGGTACCTAGACAAGGTGATAATTTGAAACGCGGAAGTCTGGAGTCTAGTATAGATGAGTAACCTTAAACGCGCAAGATGAAGTTGAGTACAGATTTATAACCTTTTTGGTCTAATCATATAAACTTGGAGGCAGCTTGAGAGGATACCCCAGAGGAGACCGAGATGGCGGGTAGTTTCAATGGACTGATAGTCTGGTAGGAGTGGGGGGAAACAAGTAAAGTTACTGATTCTCATTTTTCGATGAAAATGACAATGGCAGAAAAAAAGAACTCATTAAAACTGAACGAGTAGTTTTGAAGTAGTTTAGATCGATCAAGCTTTTTTTTAAAGGTGAAGAGATGGTCAACTAGAATAAAGCGAAGGAAAAGAAAATTACGGTCCATGGGAAGAACTTCTCTTAGCGGCTAATTGCAATTTCAGCAATTTTCAGAGTTTGATCTTTATTGAAAGCCAAGCAGCCCTAAGGCAATTGCTGGAGTCAGGCTATTTGGTAGCTTAAGTAGGATGAGGCGTGGTACCATTACTGGAGGTTGTGATTACGGCTGGGAAGAGGAGGGAGAGGGGGAGATGAAGGAAGGAGGATTGAAATGAAAGCAGGTCGTTCCCATCCGCTCTGTTTGCAAACCCACCTCAGCGATTCTCTGTCTCGTTCCGCCAGAATGGTTTTATTTTCCTCAGCTCTGTTGTGATCCAACAACCCTTGTGGTTTTATTTGTTTCTCAGATCCAAGTTCAAAACAGAAAGAGGCGTGTGAATGTTTCTTTTCCGTGTTTCTGCTGGTTTGGTGGAAGTTCTGACACCAAGATATTGGAACCTTCTTCTTAGTTTGATAATGTGATAATTTAAGTCGAGATAATTTTCAATTGTTGTATTAAATGGTTTAAGCTCAGGAGAAAAAAAAATCATCGTGTAGTCTGATCATCCGGGTGATCTAAGTCCTGAGTGGAAGTCGTCAACGAAGTTATGCATCAATCAATTCGAAGCTTCAACACCTTCTTCCTCCTCGGGCAAACCTCCGGAAATTTGAACTTTTGAAGATTGGTTCATTCAAATTTCTGATTGGTTCACTCAAATTTCTGATTGGTTCATTCAAATTTCTGATTGGTTCATTCAAATTTCTGATCGGTTTATTCAAATTTCTGATTAGTTCATTCAAGTTGCTGAGCACAATCGGGTCCGGCCTAACCGTTGTTTTCTTGTAGACCCTTACTTCTGATCCATTTGACTGTAAAAGTGAACTTTAAACAACCCTTTATTAAAGGATAAAATACGTTTATTCCGCTGTAAAGACTTGACAGCTCCGGTTCGAATTCCCCACTCCACCCAGGCACGGTTCAAATTCCCCACCTCCCGGGTACGGGCAACAGTCAAATACCCTTGGGTCGCCCGGGGGGAGGGAGGTTGTTGAAACTTTAAATTGATTTACATTTTACGTGACTCTTAGTGTCACTTCCGCTCAGGTTGCCAAAAGGCTAGTCATTGTTAGAGTCTTAGAGGGGTGATGGCTGTCACAGCTAGCGGTTAGAATTCAACCGACGACTTCGTTTCCAAGACGTCTCTTTCCCAGACGATCAGATCACACGACTTTCCTCATTAACTTACCGCAATTGGACTTAAATCGACTAATTATGTCATGTGAGACAAGAAAATTTTCACGTTCACTTCAAGTGAAATGTGAAGAGGAGCTCTATTTTTCTTATAACTTTAGTGACCGTTGACCAATATTTCAGTTGAATGTAACACTCTTTTCCGTGTTGAAGCTGCATCCTCTGTATTATACATAATTACTTTCCATAACTAATAAAAATTAAATGCCATGTTAACATTTATTTCTTCTAAAGGCTAGTAATAACGCAGTGACTTTAACACGTCGCAACCTGCTGCTGTGAGGTCGCGATATGTATGTGCAGAGAGAAAGAAAGAGGAAGCCTGGGTAGGAGATATAAGCCTTCGTCTTGTTTTCCGCTCTGCGCTACTACCGCGCCCGTTCCTAACTGAGCGCGTAGACCAAGCTTATCACGTGAAAATCTAAGCGAAAAATTTGTTGCCTGTGCCCTGAGAGGATTTACACGGTTGAAAGAAGCCCTGACAGAGAAATTAACATTGTTGTTAAGTTTGCACCGACAGTTATTGACGCGTGCAGCACATTAAATCTCCCGCGTAATTCTAATTGTATACAAAGTAATTAGTGCAAAACGGTGACAAAATTACAAACCAGTGAGCTTCACTTCGATGCGGGAGTAACATACGAACACAGGAGCAGTTTCCACTCGAGTTAAACTCGGTTGATTCACCAAACTAAGATTGCTCCGAGTGTTCAGTACCATAGTTTGCAATCGAAGTTAATCAACGAAGCTGACACCCAACAGACGGGTAAACTTGAATTAAACGCAGTCGAGAAGGGATAAAAATTTGTGGTTATGAGGTACATTTGGCGAAAAAGTGCTATAGCCCTGATTGTGATAACAACAAGTCTAGTCGTTCACGGAGGAAGAAACCAAGGTATGAGAAGTGTCCGAAGTGTTGAATTTGCTACAAATTTATTTACTAAAGTAAACTCAAGGTTTGTAAATGCTTGATTGATTTATTGTAACGTCCTTCGAATGTATCTAACCTGCTTACTTACTTTTTCAAGACGGCATATTTTTAAAGAGAGTTTCCTTCCACAGGCTATTCAAGATAAATCAGTATTTAATCCGGTTAAATACTCTTTAATTCAATTTTCTGTTAGTAAAAGCTTGTTTGATTTTGAAAAACACATCTTTGCATAATTAAACTTTTTTAATATTCGATTTTAACCAGAAAGAACCGTCGATAAATTTATAAAGCTGCAACTGTGATAATGCACAGATATATAAAAAGCAGCCCAGTAATATGTATTCAGTTTTCATTCCCTCAAAAACACAAAACAAATTCTTGCTTCTTTAGAATAAGAACAGCAGGAATTCGTTATAAACGTATTATTCATAATTTTCAGTAATGCTTCTGTCAATGGTCAAACTTTCAGGGCTTCGTTCGCAACCCAGAAGTATTTATTATTTTCTTCAAACTGCCTTATAAGTGTGTTAACTTACTTCGTTCTCTATTTTCAATAAAGCTATGGTATATTTATTGGTTTGCTAAATCATCTACAGGCGCCAAATTAATGATAATTCATGCCGACATTCAATGCTAATTTTTCCGGATGGTTAATCGCAGTTATGCACGAGAGAACGATATTGGTGTAAACTGTTTCGTCTGCTTTTAGGAACAAGGCCTTTATTTCCCCTCGCTAAACTTACTCTGACCTTAAATAAAAATTCCCATCGATACAGAAATTTACGAATCGATATACACATTGTTGGAACAAAGAGCTCTTTTCTTTTAAACGGTTCTGAAAAAGGTACTGTCCTATCGTTTACATGCAGTGACTGTCAACCTTTGTCAGGATTTGTTTGATGGCAGAGTCGACACCGAAGGAATAGTGACGCCTTTTATTTGCAGGATCGCATGATATGACATCACGACTGACAACTGTCTATCACTGTCATGGGAAACATTATACCAGTTTCTCGAACAGAAGATAATTTAAATAGAAGTTAATTTTAATTTATTTTATTTTTTCTCATGTTTGCCTCTAAGCACACATTTCCTTGTTAATAGTTTTTGTTTATATTTTTACACTCCCAAGGAAACAGCGAATTGGAAAGAGATGCATCTTGGTTAGATCTAAACGAAGACTTCAATGATCCGCACACGGACCACCGGAGTTCAAAACAAAGTTCTGCCCGCCAGAAGACGAGTGGAGATGACAATTCCGTCGACAAAAGGGATCGTGCACCTCCGAAAAGTCCTAAATATTCAAGTTTGTCAGCGAAGGCAGTACTTGAAAGAGCTGAGTCAGTTTTAGAAGCTATCAATGAGAAAGGATGCCCAACAGCTGAAGGTGTGACTTTTAACCCTTTATACCCCAACATCAGTATGTATATTCTCCGTACTGTTCTCCTTAGATTTCCTTAAGGTGTCGACAAGGAGAATTTGTTTAACGATCAAGAGCTTCTTAAGTTGGTGATCATTTCTTTTATTCTTATGACCTTCATATTTGATTCAGGGGTGGGATTGTGAGGAGAAATTAGATGTTGGTCACTCTTAGGGGTCAAAGGGTAAAGCGACTTTTATGGACTGTAAAGTTAAGGCAGGTTCGATAAGATTTACAATAATGAAGTGCGGGGGGGGAGGGGGGTGGGGTCGGGATGGTCGTCGCAGTGTAATCAGCAAAACCTCGCCAGAATTGGAGGCATAATGTTGTATTAAAGCTTGGAGACATTTTACTTCGACAAATATCAGGGTTACAATGGCGTCTATTTTGTACGCATTTACATTTCAGTTGTTGCATTGCTCCACTCACGCGCTTGTTTGACTGAAATTTTCCTTCATTTTGTTTGTTCTTGACAGAGAACCTTTTCAACGTTACTATTTATACCGCTGACTTAAGGTTGGCAGCAACCACGTCTCAAGTGTACATCAATATCTATGGAATGGTTTATGGCGTGGAAGAGAGCACGTCAAAAATTCATCTTACTAACCATAACATGAAGGAATTTACAAGAGGACGGTGCGTTCCAAATAGATTTTAAAAATTTGCAGTGAACTATCAAATGATGGGCATTTAACTTAGGGTCAAATTGTATTTTTTTTAAATGTTTCTTTTTGCTTTTGGTTTCCAGAGTGGATTCATTCCTTCTAAAGACGAAATTTGTTGGTTTGGTTGAGAGAATCACGATTGAGCATGACAATACAGGTGTGCTACCAGATTGGAACTTGGACAAGGTACTGTGTGAATATATTTATGAGGTGCTTTTATCATTAAGGAATTATCAATACAATTCCCTGCTCTCAATACGATCCCTAGTCCCTCCATATCATGTTTCAAACAAGCAGCAAACGAAAAAAATATATATTGCTCGCAAAAGGAGGCATTACAGTGAAATAATTAATTGGCAATTTTTTTAGTTCAGTCACTACTGGAACCTAAAGGGACCGTGAGGTTTTCGAGCTAACTTCTTCCCATATCTGAATTAAATTTTTTTTTATTTAAAAGAGCGGCAAGAGAGAAAGAAGCCATACTTAATAGTTAATGTACTTATTACCACTTCATTGAGACAGATACTAGAATTTCTATTTAAGGTACTTACACAGTGTTGTTCTGACAGAAAATATCGTTTCACTTTATTGGCGAAAGAGAACGTATTCAGGTCTTTCCTATAATAAGGAATGTCTTGCCAGAAATCTATCGCCCGATAAAGGTCAACACTCCTTCCAACCGATATATCCCCTCTTGAGGTTACCGGTTAGTTGCCAGTTGGGGGCCGGTCGGTTATCATTTAGGCCTAGGGAGGAGGTAGGGTTAGGGTTTTGGGGTGGGGTGGGGAGGTCAGTTCGCTCCACGAGAAAAGCAAGGTCTTTAGAGTACTTTCTCCTTTGTAACAAAACTCTTTACCTTGGGCGTCGAAGTAACCAACCTAAATAAAATTCTACTGGTTGACATTTTTTCTCCTTATATTTAGGTGGTGGTACACGATTTAAAACTTGGTACGATCCAGACGTTCATTTGCTATTGTGAATTGGCAGGATACGAAAATGAAGTCAGCTTACCACCAATATAAAACAACACTCACAGCGGTTTTACCTGTTTGAGTTTCAATGAATATGACGGATCGAAAGCTTCTCTTGTTTGTTCTGTTTTAATTTCTTTCATTTACCTCTTATTGACCTCGTTTTCTAAGGAGCGAGCTTTTTCTGCTAGTCAGGATTTCAAGGCGTGAGTGCGTAGCGTGCGGGCCTTAAAACAAGGTTCTGTGACTTACTGTATGGGCCGTGAAGACGAGGTTAGTAAGACAGTTATCAAATCTTCAATTAAAAACGGAAGTTTTCAATAGAAGCAATCTTTTGAATTAAGTGGGCCTTGCAGTGAAATACGGCCCGCTAAATTGACCAATCATGGCGCACGTACTTCCTGAGGGAAAAAAAACGGTGCTTAATTACGGGGATTCTAACCCTACAATCAAAATCACTGAACAACTTTAAGCCAGCTCCCCTTTTCGAATACGTCTTTGATGGTTGACAGATTTCAATCGGTCGGCCATTAGTGTTGTTCATCCATCGAAAATAGTTCTTCAGATGATTTACTTGACTGGCAATTACGAAAGTACTGCTATCTAAATCTTCAAAAAGGAGTGAAATAAAAGAACCATTCAATTGCTTTAGATTGAATAGTTACGACACTTGGAACTATTTCAAATTGAGAGTAAATCTGATTAGTCAAATATTGACAATTTCAAGACTTGAATAAATAATACATTTAAATTCACATTCAACAAAAATGATATTTTTTTCAAGTTTTTATATCCTAACGTATCGTTTTTCAGTTAGTTTCCTCGGCAAACTTGACACTTGGAAATGATAAGGGCTCTTTAAATCACATTTCCAGTTCTTTGCGCAAGTATTCGCAAAATTGGAGTTTCAGCTGCGGACTGCGTTCATTTTGCGTTTAGACTTCGTTCACTCTGTGGTCAGACGTAGCATTTCTCGTGAATGCACTTAAACACCACTTCTGTTGGGTAACCACATTTTAGCGCGCTCAGGAATGCGTCACGCCCAGCCTTTCTCTGTCCGAATTCGGAATCCAGGAGGAACTGGAAAAAGTCCAAACCACCCAACCTCAAGGCTTGTTCAGACTTCTCCAAAGTTCGTATGACCTGTGGTAACTGCGTGATGTTGAGCCGCTTGTTGCCCAGCGAGCAGTGTTTCACAGACGAGGCAGCGGATAGAAAATTGAGATAGGTTCGTGAATTGGCGTTTCTGGAATGAAGAAGTTCAGATAATCACACAAAGAAAGGGCTATGATATTGATTTCATGATCGGATGTGACTAGTTTAAACACGACAGCGGGTAATACAGATCACAAGAGAGAGTCCTAGGTCAGTGAGATCTCACGTCACCAAAACTGGCCAGACAGAGGAGAAACCAAAGCCTTATGTTGGAAAAGGTCCCGTAAATGCAAAGGGCGGGAAACCTGACCCAAGCGCGGGAGAAAGTGGAGGTGGTGCCAAACGCGGAAAAGAGTTCACCCGGAGTGAAACAACGGAAAAGGTAAAAGCAAATTCAAGCATGAGAAAGGGCGATTCTTGACGCGGGAAAACGTGAAACCTAAGCGCACGAGTAAGAGAAACCGATTCAAGGCGTGGGCACTCGTGAAACTTGTTCCAGGCGCGCGAAAACGTAAAGTAGGTGCAAAAACGCGTGTTTGACGCCGAGCGGCTAATGAGCATCCGTTTCCATGCAGAAGAAACATTAAAAATGATTGAAAGAGAGGGAATGTGTAAACGGTGCCAAAAGCTGAAGAAGGTGGATCCACTCTCGAATGCGCGCAAGTGCACCAAGTGTGCCTAACGCTAACAGGCTCTTTGACGTCGTGAAAACTTTAAACATATATTCAATCTCTTCAAAACAGAGAGATACACGCAAAGGTAATTTTGATCTACGAGCAAGAGACATTTACAATTCGATCTTATCGAGGATGTTATTGTCCGCCATTTTGGCGGACAATAATTAATAAATCAGAGAGATCTGAACTCTTCTTAATACAAACCTCTGAATAAAAATAAAGCTATTCTATATTCTGACTATTATACTACCTATTACTATCTATTATTCTAACCTGTTTAGCCCCTGCAGCAATTTCAAGAGCTTCAGCTAGTCGCATGTCGTCTCCAACAGGAAAAACAGTCTGAAGAGGTTCTTTTGTACGGTCAGAACTTTGTACAGCGAGAGGATCATAATGAATGCCATCATAGATCAGATAAACACATTTGCTGTAGCCAATGCCTTCCCCTAGAAAGCAAGTTTGGTTATGAAGCTCAGTTATCAACATCTCATAAGCTTTATTTTGGCAAGTAAAAATTACAACTTGGACTGCAATATTTGCTGAAAAATCTCACTGAGTTCAAGAAAGTTCTGTGTATGATTGTTGATAACAACACTCTGATTTGCATGAATGGCTGAGTGAATTCCAGTTTGTGTTCTGGGCGTGGATTGTAATCTTGCTTGCTTAAGGCTTTGCCTAAAGGGCAACCGCCTGACAGCCTGGGATAATCTAGTTGTTCTAATCGACTCTATGGATTCCTCTTTTTAAGCCTCTGGAAAACTGTTCATAGACAAACAAGCAAACGATTCTAGCCCGACTTTCAAACATGTTAGCAATTAATGTGGGTTTCAGAGGATTAAGAAACATTGGGATCACCTAACCCCTTACTCCCTAACATCAGTATGCATATTCTCCATACTACTCCCTAGACATTTCCTAGGGTTCTGACAAGGAGAATTTGTTCAACAATCAAGAGCTTCTTCAGTTGATGATCATCTCCTCCATTCTCCTGACCTTAATGTTTTATTCTGGGGTGATGTTGTTAGGAGAAATTAGGTGTTAGTCACTCCTAGGGGTTAAAAGTGAAATAATTCATTCATGCTGTCCCCAAAAAACGATAACCATGCAAACAATTTTCAGTGGGGGAGTGTATCTTTATGCTGCTTCAGAAACCCTTCTGAACCCCTTTCACCACACGGTAAGACTACCCTAATCGTGCAGATATAAAAGTGATTTTTACCATATCTGTCAACTCTCCCAGTCTCGATATCAACAACAGCAATCTCTGTTTGGTAGTGCTTACTCAGAATTGAAAGCTCAATTGCTCCTAAAGAAGGATTAAAAAAAAAAAAAAACCTTGAGTGTGTTGCATGTTGTTTAAGTAGATCAATGGAAATGAATAAAAGGAAGCCAGAAAAAAAATTATCTAGAAGCTTTAAATCTCTTTCATTACAATTGTAGATTTAAAGAACAAAACATCCTTCTATAGCATTTACAGTAAGGCAAACTTAAAGCCGGTGACACACCTGGCGATTTAAATCACTGGTCACAGAAAATTTGACCACCAAGAAAATTGGCAATATCTGACATGTCAGATATCACCGATTTTCTGCTGCAATCACAGTGATCAGTAGAAAAACAATAATTGCACACCTAGGCACACCTAGCACCTGTGTTACCAGCTTAAGACTACTATACCTCCCCAATTGTCTTTATTCAATATCCAGTTGCAGTAATCTGAGTTATCTTGGCCAAGGAAAGCAGTATTGAATGTCAAAGGATCATTTGAAACACACTGTGCAATGAGATTTCTTAATTCAGCAGAACAGGAGGAGTCACCCACCATAACATAACTATAAAAAATGCAACATAGAGAGGGGTCAGAAAACCTACTGTCCAGGAAACAAAAATGATCTCTTATTTTAAAGTGAATATAAGTATGCTACAAAATGCACATCTAAACCAAAGATTAAAATTTAGAAGTCCTCTTAATCAAATGCTTGAGCAGTGTGATAGCTGAATTTAACATCTTTATAGCAATCTTTTATTTTCTCTTTCATTGTAAAAGATACTTTTAACACAATTGATGCTAGCAGCACAATATTTTTGCAAGCCAGTCAAGACACATATTTCATACATGTTCATGAATAACCTCCTGCTTAACTTTCTGGTATTTCTGGCAGTGGTTATCTAAACTGGCACAATACATGAAGCCAGTGTACAGATGAAAATGTTCATGGGTTTCAGTTATCCTTAGATTTCTCTTGCCCATGGTTTGCTCATTGCAAAAAATTACTAATCAAATTGAATGTTGCAATCAAATCAAAAGCTATCAGAGCAACTGACTCACCTAACACTTGTGAACAGGCAGGAATTATCAGCTGGAACAACTCTGAATGGAAAACCAAAAACAGCACTTGTTCAATGGTAGTACAGTACAAACACTTTCTGATTCTAAGGGCAGAAAGGTGTTTTGTTATAAGTCTACACTAGGGCCTTTCTTTAAGTCATTCTAGTAGAGAGCTACATGTATGTTAAGACCATAATGATCAATCATTTACAATTCACTGTTATTTTTTATTTGACTGGAATATGATAGAAATCAGTTTTGCGCAAAGAGGTCAACTGTATGCAGCCCTTCTGAGCTCATAGACTCAACAGTAAGCAAATATATATACTGTCTGTTTGATTCTATAACAAAATAGTCTTTTACTCTGATGCAAGTTCCTGTCTGAACTATATGAGCAAGACTTAGGTAAAGGGCATGGAATTTTTTTCCCTGCATTATACTTGTAAGAATGGCATACTTGTGGTCTAGTCAGTATGGAGATTTCAGTGTCAGTTGTATAGATTGACCATGCTTACTATTATTATAAATATGTAATTGTCATTGAAATCTTATGTCTGCTAAAAATGAACTTTTTAAATTTTCTCCCTGATGTTGAAAGCCTTCTTTTACTGCATGTCTCATTATCCTGTTCCCCATCCCTATTTCCTAAAGGGCCCTGTACATTCAAAACTTCATGTGCTGTAATTACAGAGCTGTTTAAACCCTGCATTTATAGCATAGAATTGAACAGTATTCATTAAATAGTTGGCAGTTAGTGTACGCCATGTGTCACTTACTTCCTTGTCAGTTTCCCTAGTGCAGCACTTCCTAAAGATTTCTTGTAACTGTCTAAAGGTACTCTTGGTGCTTTTTTATCCTCCTCAATGATGAGAGTGTCTCCTGAGCGGATGTCCAATGAGGACAAAGAGTCACTTTTATCTTCACAGATCAACTGCTTTGGTGGAAATCCTAAAAGAACTTTAAATTTTCACATATAACATGTCAGTGAAATAAGCATATCACACCAAATTAAGACTGTTGTGCACAAAAGGAAGATGCAATAATCTGGCATCATTCCCACAATCTTGCTGCAAGTTGTCTTTATGTTCACCCACCAATGAAATCTGACCAGAATGGCAAGATTGTCCTGGAATGTTGAAAGGAGAATCAGGTCTTGTGAACCCAAGTATACACACTACTAGAGCTGTACTTAAAATTCTGAATTTTCAATAGTCCACTTTATAACTGTTGGCTTTGTTGCCAGGCCCTCCAACAAGAGTGAGACAGTAGGAGAGACCTTGTAATAATATAAACATTGCTGTTTTTCAAATGTAAAATACTCCTTTACCATTTTACCATAACAATTTTATTTACTGTAGCACCCTTATTCCAAATAACCTCTCTCTCTCTCTCTCTCTCTAATGAGCACCTTTCAATTTGGTTTTTGTAATAAGCACCCCTATTCTTTATAAGTGCCCCTATTGAGTAAGCAGTCTCATTCCAATAAGTGCCCCTAAATAAATAAGTAGCCCTATTTTGTTTCAGAGCCAGCATTGTTACAGTACATGTAAATTCAGATCAACTATGGTTCATCTTCCTTTAATTTTCTCATTTAAAGCTTCATTACTACATTAGTAGTCTATGTCTTAGTATGTTCACGTGGGTGCACACCTCGTTCACACAAATGATGGTATCTTTAAATTTTATGACAATAATTATTGCTTGGCTGGTTGTTTAGCCCAGAAAGGATCCAGGGACAAAAAGTCTGTTTTCCAGTCTTCTTTGCTGTATCTCAAAGAAGAAATAAGCACCCTGCCCCTAATAAGCGTTCTCCCTTGAGGTACCAAAAGTAAATAAGTGCACTTGGCACGCAATCAAATTATTACAGTGATTGTTTTCTTGCTTTCATGTCTCTCTCATTGGGTGGTTACCCTCATCCTCCTTCCTGTTCAAAGGCCTGTTTAAAGTAAGTTTATTTCAGTGTAAACACTTGGTTGACCAGACCACAAATTCCCACTGCCTACTGCCTCTACTTTGCTTTGCTTTTTTTTTTTGCAGATGACAAGACACAATTTTTTAACCAAGCATTTCTGACATCTCCCATGACCAACAGGTGCAAATCAAGTTTTTGTGGAGATGCCATCACAAGTAACATAAATTAAATTATGGTAAAATAATGAAATTAGCTGTAATTACTTCTCTGTGCATGTGGTGGAACATCTGTTAGTAACCATATCTTCTCCTGCAAATCAGCAACAGTGGAGTTGGCTGAGAGTCCTTCAAGATTGTTGCGTCTTCCTCCCTTATATTGGCATCTTAAAACCTTTAAGGCAAAGCATCCATTTATAAATGTAATTCAACTTATGGAACATGAAGCTCTTAGAGTTGAATCAGTATGTACCAAAATATATGTGAAAGTACAAAAAAAAATTATTTGTGGATTTCTTCTTATTATTATTTATTGTGTTTCATCACAACACAACACAATTGATCAATGGCCACATATTGAATCCTGCAGATATTTTGCCACTATTTCATTTAATACTACTTTTATACACTAATGTACCAAAATAATGTTACGTATACTAGTGCATCACCTTTTATCGTTCCTCATATCATTTTCAATAATTTTTAAATTCGGCTTGGTCAAATTATTTCCTATTGAAAATTGCCTTGGAGGCGTAAGAACAGAAAGTGTATTCGCATTAACATTGGTTATTCCTAGTTTTAAAAAAAATCAATGCAAGGTGGGATATAGAAGTTGGTAAAAGGGACACTGAGGAGAAAATATAAGCTCGAACAAGAAAAAGCTTCGCACTAGCTCCCACAGCACTCAGTTGTAGTAATTTTTGCCTAAGCGGCAAAACATGAGTACTATTGCTATTAGTTTGGAAAGACAAAAGTGTCTATTTTTTTCCATGTGCCTCTGATTCAAAATCCTCTCAGATCTCATGCAAAAAGGAAAAATGATAATAAGTTGTTGTCAAACAGAGAAAATTAAAAGCGCATTTCCTACAAGCGACTAAATACAGGAATGGCTCCGACCTGTAATTGGATGATAAAAATAGTAAAAGTTAATAAGTTATATCTTAACTCTTTGCCCGTGAGTATTGTTAACCGCGTGTCTCTAAGCGGAACAATGAAATATCAATGCGAGTGAAAACACCGATCTGTAAAAAAAGAAATGATTACTTACGTAGCGAAGGGAAGGCAGCCTTTCTTATTCAGCGAGGTCGTTCAGCGATATTCCAGCGATGAAAAAGTCATCGGCTAACCAGCTCCGCTGACAAAACTCATTTGGTCAGTTCAGGCGGACGACCAGAGACTGGAGCCATTCCTGTATTTCACCGCTGACAGGAATAGCTCCGACTCAAACGTTTATTAGTTTTTTTTCAATAACTTTTTAGTAATTTTTAAAAAAAAATTTAAAAATTTAAAACTAAAATGGTGAGCAGTGCTGTACGAACAGTAGTTGTAAAACTTCTTTATTCTCTGACGCGTTTCGTCTAACTCTCGTAACTTCGTTAAAAAATTAATATACGCATGAGTTGGAGCCATTCCTGTCAGCGGTGAAATACAGGAATGGCTCCAGTCTCTGGTCGTCCGCCTAGACAGACTAAATTAGTTTTGTCAGCGGAAATTGGCAGCGGATGACTTTTTCATTGCCGGAATATCGCTGAACGACCTAGCTGAAGAAGATAGACTCTGCCTTATCTTCGTTATGTAAGTAGCCATTTCTTGTTTGACACGTCGGTGTTTTCGCATCGATATTTCATTGTTCCGCTTCGGTACACGCGGTTAACAATACTCACGTGCAAGGAATTAAGATATAACTTATGAACTTTTACTATTTTTATCATCCAATCACAGGTCGGAGCCATTCCTGTATTTAGTCGCTTGTATTTCCTACCATAGACGCCATCTTGAAGTCTGCAAGATCCTGGATCGGATCAAGCCTCGCTTCTATTCTGGTAGGCAGGCGCACTTTGACTCGCTAAGACTAATTTGGCGGGAACAGCAAATCTTTAACGGTCAGAGCGGCTAAGGAGTTTTCAGTCTAGCGCAAAGATCTGTGAACATGGCTTCGAAAGCGCTACGGTACTCAGCAGAAACCCCTTCAATTATGGATCCAATTGATCTCAAAAACAAAATGAACGATTCGATTCTAAATAGCGAGGAAATCACCGATGATGAGGCTATGGAAGATGTTACACCGTGCTCTTCCGCGAAGAAGAAAGCAGTGTCGCGCAAGAAAATGTTTGGATCACAAGACGAAGAATATGATAAAAATTATTCTGACTCAGAGGATGACGATCTAAGTGACACGACTTCGTGTAAAGATGGCGAAGAAAACGCAGGGTGAAGAAAAAGAGGAAAGCCAGTACCTCTTCGGTTGACGATGAAGATAATATGTGAGTACATAACATGATATATAAAATGAATGCTTTTTGAACTAAAAAAATCCATGGCTAGTCTGAAAATGATTGGGAGACGAGACCGTCGTGTTAGCTATAACTATGTTATTCAGTGTAAAATGCGATGTTTCGAACGTTTACGCGGGAAGTTCTGGAACGATAAGAACGTGTTTCAGATGTGACAGATTCTTCATTTGTAGTTAACTGCAAATGCATTATTCCACGCTATAATGATAAGAACCTTCAAGTTGACAGATCCACTATAATAAGCGCAGCTGAATACTGATGTTGGTTGTTGTGCTGCAAAGCAGAGGGGCATTTTGCTGCGCATGCGGCAGTGAAGTTCTGTTTGTTGAGAGTAACCGCTGGCATGGGCCCGCGCCGCGCGTTCGTATTTGTTTCCCGCCAGTTTTCGAATAGATGCGGCAGTAGTGGAGCACGAAATACAATGGCTCTTCTATTTGTGTTCGTTGTCATTCTCGAGATTTTTTCTCAATGTTACTTGGCTGAAAGCGCGAAACAATCGAAAAATGGTTGCGTAGTGTGCGGGAGAAAGTCCCAGCCGCGTTACTTTCAAAAGGTGAAAAGTTATGAAAAAGAATTCAAGTGTTGTTTTGGGATAGTAGGGAGAGCGAT